GGTTTTGCTGATACTAGCTCGAAATGTCTGGTTTGTAGCAACAGTGCAAACTAAACGTTACCTTAATCCTGATGTTTGTGTGACAAGCCAATGGAAATTTTTGAAATTTGATATCATTCGTAATGGCCGTGACATCTTAAACTCATAATCATAATATTTAGAAACGTTACACGTAATCTATTGCCACGATACAAAAAAAAAATTTCCGACATATCACTCGCTCTACTACAAGACGAGACGGTCACTAAAAATTGGATGTTTTTTTCTTGTGTTATCGTGAATGACATAAAACAAGATACATGGGAAAGTGGAAGAGTTCAAGTTTTATCTCCGATATGTTAATAATAAACAAAAAACATTTCCTGTTTTTGTATTCGATTTGATTTGTAATATTCGATTATTTATTATTACTTTAAAATAATGAGAAAATTATCTTCTAAAATTAAACAGTATAAAATTAGTAAGTATACATCTATGATATTATTATTCGGCGCCGAGACATCGTTGATACATCCGCGAATGAGAAAAATAGTGTCTTACCGGCGTTTAATGAGTTCTAACGAGTTTTATCGGTTGTTTATTCAGTAGAATATTAAGTAACAGTTTGAGTCTTATGACAATCTTATTTTCTTTTTCTTTATTTATTACAACGAGTTCTCAGTCTCAACGAGTCATAAAATAATAGCTATGCCGGAAGCTATTTTAGTTTCGTCATTATGACGCATCATCATTAACATTAAATCAAATACTTATTATAAACTTATCAATGATCTGTTATAACAATATAAACAGATTGACTTTATCGGCATTAATGTCGATTTATATTCGAATGCTTTACTTATTATTATTATAAATATTAAAATAAAAATTATTGCGTAAAACTAAATTTTACGTAAAATATTTTTAAGTATTTTAAATATTCAAATGTCGTTAAATACTCAAATCAATTAAAATTAAGTAATAGGTAGAAGTCAGTCTTAAGAAATTAATATTCAGTAGAGATCGCTCGAGTTACATTTTATATGAAAAGTTAAACAAGTCTTTCTCTCATTCATAAATATATTATTAAATATCGAGGAAAGATATATAACATAGTTGAATGTTTCTTTCAACTCACGATATCATTATGCGAAATATTAATTCAAATTTCAATTACATCTCTCATGATCCGTAATCTGAAGGAGTTGTGAAATAATGGTACATCCCCACCATGGAACTCATTTCGCTCGAGTTGGCGGCAACCTCGTTGGGCGCATGGTTTACAGAACATTTAGCTGCGATTTTCGCACTCGACTAACTTTTGCGGTTCCTCTTTTGTGCACACGTGTCGATACATTGATGTTACCCGACACCCGAGCGTTTTTCTTGACTGATTGATTTCTCGCTGTGACCTCTAAATGCGCCCTGTCATCATTTTTATCGACAATAACGAATGTCAAAATGATTTCCGATTCTGTAAGACGAGAAAGCGGGATGAATATGATAAACTGTAAAGCCGAAAAGGCGTGACGCAAGCAGGGATATCGGACACGAAATGAAAATAGACGTCATGCAAGTGCGGCAAAAGCAGAGTCTGCCAGGAGCGCGGGCAAACGTGGAAGAAACTGTCACATTCCCGGAGAAAGCCGCAACGAAGGAAAACGAGCTAAAAGCGAAATGGAAAATAGAACCGGAGTGAAAGGGGATGGACGACGAACGAGAGAAGGGAGAGAGAGAGAGAGAGAGAGAGAAGGAAGGTTCGCGAACCTATTGTTTCAAAGTGCGATACAATGGATTCTCGGTTGTGTTAGCTTCACGAAGACTGGCACCTCATTGGCCACTCGCGTTAACGCGTGCACCATCCGGCCGAGAGTCCTCGTTGTCGTTTTGCACACCAAACGCATATCGCGTAAATGTGCATTGTGTACTCACCATTGTTCCATGCTGAGCGGACCATGGTATTGCACGGGATAAGGAACGAAGTTGAATGGTGGAAAATGGAAAGTGGAAAGTCCGCCCGCTCACGGAGGAGTTACTACGAAGGAGTGCCGAGCACAATTCGCTGCTTTCCCCGTCTCAATTTTGCGAATCTTTGTAGACCTGAGGGCTTGTGAACGTGAGGGAAAAGTATTGTTCGCCCGCAAGTCAGAGAGGGCGGTTTCCATAAGGCTTAATTGTGGCTTCCATTGCTCCAAATTTATATAGCACGTATCCGTGTGCTACAAGAATAGCGAGAGAGACTCTGTCAAGTTTTTAAGAGTAATAACTTTCAATATTAACATTTATTCAATTCAATCAATTATTAACATTAATTTTATTAACATTATTAACATTAATATATATTTCATGATTAGTAAAGCTCTTTTAAAGAGTCTGGAATATATATTCTAGCGTTAATAAACTTACAGAGATGATTAGATAGCATAATAATATAATAACAGATCTATAATGACGTAATTACTTAATGTCTGAAGGAAAACGTAACACTAGTGATTAGGCAATGCAGAGTTTTTATACGTTATCTTAGTTTAATAGACATTTCGTAAACAATTTTATCGGGGAATAATAGATAAATTTTGTAACGGACAAATAAAAGTTTATAATATGTTTCGTTTGCCTATATTTTTACATACTATGGCACATACCGGTAATTTAAATATTTCACGAAAAGTGCTCACCATATACGAGCTAATGCTTTAGAAGAATATTTTTTATCCAAGAAAATTCCCGGATTAACCATTCCTCATACATTATAAAGAATTTTATAACTCTTTTAATAAACGCGTTGAGTCGGGATAATAAAAAGTTTGGGACGCTAAAGTCCCCAACCAGACTTGCAAACGATTACTCTAAAACTTTTTAATGACGTAATGGCAATTATCTTATTCTTTCTTATGAAAATTTAATAAATTTTTTAATTTAATATTAATTTAATAAATTATATATCAGAATCATAAACTACTATTTCTTTTTCTTATAAAAAAATATCTTAATGGTTTCAATGTATTTAACTCTCAAATAATATAACATGATAAATGATAAATGATAGTAATACTATTGTTGTAATATTGATGTAACTTATTACTGTTATTAATATACAGAAAAGGGAGGTAAGGTAACGATTTGCTATTTTTCTAAACTAATTTTTCTAAATTAATAATAGATAACGAGTCAATGTCAAACTTATTAAGGATTTTTAATGACTAATCTATCGTAATTTGAGTTTAATCTATCAACGACAATAGACAATACAATAAAAAATATACTTTAAGTACATCCATATATATAATTTTGTAGTTTTTCTTCAAGAATTACAATTATAGTAAATATATTTTCATTTTTTTATAAACTACTAAGTGTAAGATATATCTAAAAATGCATACAAATAATAATATATTATTATTTTCCATTTTCCATATTGCAATATTTTCTTAGAGAAATAAATGTGATGACCATGGGATAAGATGACAAATGTTATATCAAAAATTATATAATAATAAATACTTTTATTTTACTTGTAATTTTATTTTATTTTATTTTTTAATTTATATAATTATATAAAATATTTTCTATTCATAAGTACTATTTATTTTATTGTGTTATTCAGGTATTATAATAATAGAATAATATAAAAAATTTTTTAAAAAATTAGTTTTAACTTACATCATCTTATCCAGTATCAAAAGTTATCTTACCTCACATTCTCCCTTTCTTCTACGTGTACATATGATATTTCTTGTTAATTTGACATTTGTTAACGTAACATCACATTATTTTGTCAATTATATTTAAAAATCCAGAATATCAATTTTATTGATTTATACCAAGAATAAACGGCGAAATACATATAAATAAATCTCGGATGACGCTGCGTGCGAATTAATTTATATTGCTCTGGTAACAAGTTTTGTCAATAAACTTTAATCATTTATATAAAAATGTGTATCGCACACACAAAAAAAAAAATCACGAATACAAGTAAATTCGAAATATTCATTATATAATTGGATTATTGTTCAAATCCAGATGCGAAAACGTCATACTCGTTGGAAACATTTTTAACAAAATAAGCTGAGGTTAGTAATAGCTCATTCGCAAAAATAGAAGCACAAATGTGCACCTTTCTTTCTTTAGGGATGAATGCCTCTGTAAAACATTGTGAGAAATTGACGTAAGCACCGGCACTTAAATTAAAATTCCTAAGCATCTTTACAGCCTGTTGCATAAATTTGTTCAACAATAGATCACTTATAAACAATTATACTCTCAAGAAGATCAGGTGCCTTCCTCTCTCGCGGGAGGTGAACGGGATATAAATTCAATGAAAAGAGCTTATATAGGAGCGCCGGCGAGACGCCGATGAACAATAGCGGTAGAAGATAAGACGCTACCGTGTTCTTCCGGGCTCCCCCTTTCGTCAACATCATCCCCTCCCCCCTGCCGGCTCCACTATATAGCCACTATATACCTTCGTCTATCTCTTTCCCACGTACAAACGTACATCTTCTCTCTTTCCTTCGAGGTTGTTAGCATAATAACGTCAAGTGCTTCACCACGTTGGTAGTCAATACGTGCTGTCGCTTCGATCGCGTCGCACTGATCGTATTGAGTCATATTAGTGTCTCTCGTGAAATTGCGTAACGAGACCCACGCGCGCACATGCATACACGCGACTGCGATATAAGCGTACGTTACCGGCAAATTTCCGTTATTACCCCTGTCGGAACTTATCACGCTTATCATCTTCGCGAACTCGAGTTTCTTCGCGACTACACACGAACGGGCAGCGGTGAAAATCAGGCGAAAATCAAGCGGGAATCGCGTTAAAGATAGCATCGGCGAGCGTGCTGCCGAGCTGACACTTCCGATAGAAACAATCATCGCGGCACTCGACAACTCGAGCGTCTCTCGAAAGTCACCCACTCACCTCCGTAATCGAGAGCCTCAGCCGTATATATCGAGTGACACACTTCTGTCACGAATCATCGTTGAATTCTCAACACCCTCCCGTAATCCTTGGTACGCAGACGAAGCTCGATCACGACGGAAGACGACGTCCCGAGACGACCGTGGATCCGGGATGACGACTCACATCACGTCGATGGTGATAGACTATCTGGTGTTCATTGGATTCATCGTGGTTTCCTTCGTGATACCGCTATGGGGGAATTTCAAGACGAAGAAAAAGGAGACGAAGGCGACTTACGTGTTCGCCACCGGCAGCGTGTCGATGGGCGCGATGATGCTGTCAATCGCGCGTGGAACTCTTGGCGTCAGGTCTTTCCTAGGTTATCCTTCGGAACTGTATTATCGAGGTAGCGCCATGTGGGAGACTCTGTACGGGATGCTGTTGGCGTATCCTATCGTCTGTTTCATCTTCGTACCCGTTTACTATAGCCTCGGTATCACGTCGGTCTACCAATACTTGGATATGAGGTAATTTTATTTTACTTTTCCTTTCTTTCTTTCTTTCTTTCCTTCTTTCTTTTCACTCTGCGAGTGAAAAGAACGTTTGGCACGTGATATTATGTTTTACATTTTATACAAAGAGATGTATTTAATTGATATGTTTATGAATAAATTATATCTTAAATAATAAACGTAGTAATAGATCGATACGTACCAGATGTAAAATTGCAATTGATGATCGATATAATATCAAGTTTGACAACTTTGAAGATTAAATGAAAAATTTTGTAAACGGTAATTTCATTGGTACTACTTCGAGAATTTTAATCGATTTCGATGTGAAAGCTATCTTCGACGAGAAGAACATGTAACAATTGCGTCTGGTTAATACGTACGTAAATAATTCATTACCTCGGACGATCTTTTGTTTGAATTTCTCTTAATTATAAATAAATTCCCTAGGTTCAAGTCAAAAGTAGTCAGAGGTCTGGCGAGCTTCTCTTACGTCATACGGAGCCTTCTGAATTTGGCGGTCACGGTATTCACCCCTTGCGTCGCGCTGAAAGCGGTGATAGGGCTTCCGTACTGGGCTAGTATCGTGGGAATAACAACTATTTCTGTGGCTTTCACGATCATAGTAAGAACACGCATATTACAACATATATTCGCATGCTTCACAGGTATCCACGTTCACGAAAGTTCTATAAGTAACAAATATATATTCCAAATATATATTTTTTTACTTTTTCCGCTTCAATATCTCGCTCTTGAAAGTTGAATAATGAGCATTGAAATTTCATGCATAGTGTAAAATGAAGGCATAACATATGAGAAATATATAATGCGATGCAATATACATATTTAAACGAAAATATTTTCGTTCTTTGTGTCTATTTATAGCGATAATGGAAACACGATAATGAGCGTAAACGACAACTTTTCTCATAGCATAATAGCATATTAGCAAATGTCAGTGTGTATTTTTACTTAGAGTCGAAATTATATCGATTTTGACCTTTGCGAAAAAAAAGTGAATTATTTACGAATTGTTTTCGTGAAAACGGTATTTTCGGAAAGTTCAATACTTCGGATTTAAATGAATAACAGAACCGTAACCAGAACCACGACATAATTTTGATAAAACGTGAGCTTTCTGCGCAAATTACATTCCAACGGCAAATTACTTATATTCGTTCCGTAGGAAATTGGAGCAATCAAGCACGTATATAAATGGGATGCATTGAGGAGCGAATAATGACAGCAAGCAACGTTATTACGAAAAATAATGAAAATCATATAATTTTTAATATTAACTTCTGAAATAATGGAACATCGATGTGACGTGGAATATAACACATTTGTTATAATGACTAACGTGTTTCAAATAAATTGCTTTTCTAGATCATTTCCCAATTAACAATCGTTAAATGCCTAAAAATAATTATATCGATTAGCTCACTTAATAGTTATCGATATCGCCTTGTTTTATGACTCGTGAATAATGATTTTCATTAGATGAATTTTTATCAAATTGATTTATATGTGTGCTTTTTAGGGAGGTCTAAAAGCTGCTATTCTGTCAGATGTTATACAAGCTCTAGCGATGATTGGTGTATCAATGGTAATCATCGTACAGGGAACTGTCAATGTCGGCGGGCCGGCTAATGTCTTAAATGTAACTTATGAACGCGGACGACTAGATTTCTTCAAGTACGTCACACTGATAATTTATCCGAAATTATATACACTCGTCATTGAATGCATAATAATTTTGATTTCAATATATAATAAATTTATTGAAATGATGCCAGAATCATGTGCGGAATTCCTATTGCGTAGTTTCGTATTTCGTTTCTGAACTTTAGAATTATTAATCTCGGCGAAAATATACAATTCCAACTAACTGTCAGTAAATTGAATAACATTAAAATGCAATTTTATATTAAAATTCTTTAGTACGCATTTCACAATTTAAAATTATTAAATTCCACAGCCGCGCAAAATTATTTCACGGGCTGTGCATTTTCTGCATCTTTGAAATTTTGGGGAGACAATAAAATATCCATTCTTTTTTTTTAAATTACAAGGAAATTTAAATAATTGAATACGTCTAAGACATTTAATATTCTGAAACTTTCTGAAGCACATCTTAACGATAAAATACGCAAGTACTCATCAGTAACTCCAGTAACTCATACTTTTTTCAGCTTTGATATGGATCCGACTGTTCGAGTAACGACAATGTCGGCGACACTAGGTCAACTCTTCATGAGTTTATCCATTTTCGGATGTCAGCAAAATTTTGTCCAGAGATACTGCAGTATGTCCAGCCAAAGAAAAGTTGTCAAGTAAGTAAACTTTTTATCTTAACATGAAACTTTGAACAAATTCTCTATTCATGCTTTTGACGTGTAACGGTAAACGACACATATAGACTTTATACGACACGTTGTGCACAATTCATCGAATGATCTGAAGGATAATGTGATTTATGCAAAGTGTTCCGCGAATTATCACTTTACGCATTCAAGACATGAATGGAAACTGAGTATAAACGCGTATATGTGCATAAAATAGCTTCGATTAAACAAAGACAGAGTCCATATAAAAGATCTTCCATTTTAAGAATAAAATTATATTTCTAAAATTAAATAAAAATAAATTTTAAAACACCGAAATAAATATTTTACCCTAAAATATTGTCCATAGACATTTATTGTTATTAAAATATTATTAATTATGATTATATACACATATATAAATAAAATTAATTTTATCAAATAATAAAACATAAATTTTTATATAATTTTTATATAAAAATAAAATATGAATATCAATGTTAAAAGATGAAAGAAATATTAGAAAAGAATATTAGAAATATAAGAAAAAATATATATTAATGCTATTTTGGAGTTAAGAATATTTTTACAAGTTATGATATACTTTAATCAATTTGTAATCGATATTTATCTAGAATATCTGAAAAGATTGATTACTTAAAATCTTTAGAGAAAATCTGGATATATTTGCGAAGAAATTTTTTATTATTTAAAAAGATGAAAGTTCTTCTTAAATCTTTGTTGATTTCAGTTATAACTAATATGTATACGCGCATCTATTTGTTTGTGACTTATTAAATTTTTTTACTACAGTCACTTGAGTTTGTTTAATGATTCATCAATGTACGCAACGTAAATTATGATTCATATTAAGTCATGCAAATAACTCTTATCTTAATGTAAAGAGTTTCGATTTGCAGATTAAAATGATACAAAAGAAATAAAAATCTAAGTATAATAAGAGGAGAGAATAATCTGGAATTATTATAGATATAAATTATTATAAGATATATGTTTCATATATTGAAAATAGAAGCACAAATATTATATTATCTTATGATATTAAATTATAATATAATATAATTTCAATATCGTAAGATAATATAATATAATGATAATCTCATTATCTCATAGTATACTTTCTTACGTAGTATACTATCTTTTGTATTGTATTTACAAAATATTTTCATTTTTATAAATAAATAAATGAAATTTATCGCGCACGTTCTAAGAATTCTTTTAATTATACGGAAATCTAATAAGAATAAAGTCATATACCATTTTAATATCAGTCTGACATTTGTTCGAGGTCGCAATGTAATTTCATAGTTTCATTAAATTGCTCGCTTGGTCAGAAATAATTCCAAATAAACTTTAATGAAATTACAAATTTAAAAAAAAAGAAAAATTAAAGATTCGCAATTTTATTCTGTAGAGCAGTATTTTTTTAAACAGAAACTATATATAAAAAAAAAGGAATTCCAGCGCTTTTTCGAAAAGTTTGAAAAAGTATTTTTTCGCAAAATGTCATATCACTATCATGATATACGAGCACATTCTTCACGGTAAAATTAAATTCAGGAATTTTCGTTCACGTGCGTTACATTTGGCCTTAGGAAAACGTCCTTTTTTTACCTTACTCATCAATTTTACTTGTAATTTTTTATTATTTGAGGCTTATTCCGCCTCAGTAGTGTATAAATGCAGCTGTTTGCACAATTTGCACAAGCAGCTCGCACGCTCATACAATTGTAACTACGACGAAACGTTGAATTGCGCTACAATACAGCAGGCAACGTAAAATCATACATTTTTCTAGTCCGATGTGTGATGGCAATCGAAAGCGTATAAAAGCCCACCGGCCACAAATTTGCTACAGTGTGCCGCTGTACTCAAACTGAGACATTACGTGGAACGAATACATCACGTTAGTCCGTAAAATTTTATTACTCGCAAGTGTATCGTCAAAAGAACTCAAATGGATATTTTCGCGAAAAAAAAGAAAGCTTTACATTTAATCCAGAGACGTATTTGTGAGATGCTATTAAAAAATATTCAACAATAAAAATTCAACAAAATTTTATCATTATCAAATTTTTTTTCTTTCTATATATATTTTCAAAATACGGTGTATAAAATTTGATTTGAAATAAAAATGCGCATATTTATATTTTATTGCTAAAACTTTGTTTTTCGAATAATGTTTCTCTTAAATATTCATTTATGTACGTCAATAAATTAAAAATTGAAAGAATTTCTTTTTTACTGGTTGTAATTTTCATGTAATTTTCATATGTAATCGTAGAACGATAACATGATTATTTATATTTTTCTTAATTTTATTGTTCTTATATTAAAGTCTTGTATTAGTACGTTGGTAGCTATAAAATAAATTTCTCGGTATGTGACGATAGGTTAATAGAATTTACGTCGATAATTTCCCGAGCTCGTCGCATCGGCAATAGAAAGTTTTTGGGAGATGGTACAATCGGACCGATTTAGGAAATTGTGCACACACAGTTACTATTACCACATAATCAATGAGAGAAATCTCCGTAGGGAGCCGAATGGCGCCGCGCCAAACTTTTAGTACAGAGATTCTCTTACGTTCAATAAGAGGTCTATAATATCACTGCAATAAACGTTAACGTACATATGTTAAAGTAAAGCCTTTTCCATGTGTATGTTTATTGAAATAACCGTAAATAATCTTGTCGAGAATGAGGAAGTAGGGTTATTCAAAATAATGAAGAATTAAAACCGCTTAAAGCGGTCTCTACATCATTTGTTACTGTAGATTTCTACAAGATACCCGGCGACATTACAAAATTATAATGAATGTCTGCGTCGCCACTGTCAGCTAACGAAAAATTTATGTTGCTACAGGATTTACGTATCCTAATGTATATTAATGTTACGTATTATGTAAGCGCTTATACTCGATATTCTTTTAGTTACTTCCTTGACGAGCATTTGGATTAATGTCGAGATTCATTATAATTGATTTAATTGTTCTGGTTGTGCATTAACACAAATTACAAGTATCCGCTGGATCATTCTTATTAAAGTTAATAACATTTATATGAACTCCATTAGCTCAAAAAAATAATTTGAAAGAATAATCGTAAGAATAAATATATAATTATCATCACGCGTCCGGTTGCTTCGTTATTCTTTCATTAATTGTTCATTATTTTTTATTTTATTTTTGCTTATGTTAGAAATTCTTTACATGTATATAATATTGTGTGTTATATATTATGTAAATTTTATAATGTTTTATAATTTAAATGATATGAATATCGTTCGCATGTATTATCTCATAATATAAGCCTCATTTGTACTAAATCACTTTGAAACAATACTTTATCTAAAATGTAGAATTTATTGCAAAGTCTCATATTTTATATAAATTGCGATTAATAAGAATAAATAATTATTTGTTTAGGTAAAGTCCAATTTTTTGTAATGTTAAAATAATGGAAGAAATTTCAAAATATTTACAATAAATATAGCAGCATTAAATATTTATCGGTATTATAAATACAAATATACATTAATTATAAATTTAATACACTAACTTAATATATAATACTATGTTCGATGGTTGCGGTATTTGCGCATATTGTATTCAAATGAAATTCATCGAATTTCTGCTGAACATTTAGTTTGACGTCATTTGGTTACAACAATTTATTGTCACAAGTCGCTGTTGCGTTATCGGTCAATCATATCAAATAAAGTATTGTGGTTAAACAAATACAAAATTTATCGCAATCATCGCGCGTATCAAAACCAACGGGAACGCAAAAACACCGCTATTGTACATGCATTAAAAAAAGAAAAAAATCTTATTAAAGAACTTGCAAAATAAGCAAATAACAATTATATAACATTAATTTTTTTTCAAGAATTGTGCCATGCGTTTATATAACAATACAGATGATCCTTGCACTACTTATTTATTTTAATTTCATTGCTACCTTGAGCTCAGCATTGTTACGTCAATCATTCTTAAATTCTTACATAAGATGGTGTTTTGAGTGATCTTCAATTTTTGTAACCGAAGAATGTTTTTGCTTTCAGGACAATGATGGCCAACATACCTATAATCACGATTTTGTTCTCGTTATCTTGGATCGTTGGAATGGTGATTTTTGCCAATTATGCCGACTGTGATCCACTCAGTCTAGGATATATCTCCAAAATCGACGAGATCGTACCATTCTATGTCGAAGACAAATTCCTCAATTTACCCGGTATGCTTGGTCTTGTGATGGCGACTCTGTTCAACAGCGCTTTAACTTTGACGGTATCGAATCTCAATTCTCTCGCGACGGTGACTTTCGAGGATTTCCTGAGTCCCATACCTGTGTTCAGCAATCTACAGGACACGCAGCAGCTTCACGCGATTAAAATAATCGGTGTTATCTACGGTTTACTGATAATCGGAATTAGTTTCTTGGTAGCTATGTTATCTGGTGTAATAGAATCTTCTATGCTGATGACGTCAGCGACGTCCGGACCTCTTCTCGGTGTGTTTCTCTTGGCCATGTTGATACCTTGTGCCAATTGGAAAGGTGCCGCCGCTGGCATGATCTTCAGTCACGTAACGACAATATGGATCACTTTCGGTCATCTCAGTCTGGGTACTGTGATCAACATGCTACCCTTGTCGACAGAGAATTGCCACAACGAGACATTCTCCTCATGGATCACTGAACCAATCAGCTTAGAATCTTCTACATCAAACAACTCCAGTTGGACGACAATTCAACAGAATATTACATTATCATCCGTCGACGAATCCAATACATCGTCCAATCCTCTAAATGTTCTTTATGGGATAACTTACATGTATTACGCTCTTATTGGTAGCGTAACAACAGTCAGCGTCGGAATCATCGTGAGTTTAATTACCGCTGATCCTGAAGCTGATAAGTACGAGGAACATTTGCTGCATCCCATAGCACGAAAAATAGCGGGATTATTTCCTGGAAAGCGAAGGCTCTACGCCAGCAACACTCGTCTTGGAAATAAAAACGATATCACAAACGGCACGAATGCCACCCTTTCCTCAGTAATGTCTATCCCTGACAGTGTCGAGAAAGCGATTTCTTTTCAAGGATGCGTTGACGACAAGGGAAAGCTACATCTAGATAGTAATTATGTGGAGAAGTTGAATGTATTAAAGAATGCTTCCCTAGATGTGACTAATGAAATCGGCAAGCATACTAAATTATAATATCACGATGCTAGTCTGCAAGTATTTTTTGTACATTATTTGTAGTATTGTCATTGGATTGAAAATCTCGACACTCGTGAGAGTATATTGTGATGAACTCGATGAGAGAGAGAGAGAAAGAGAGAAAGAATGAACAGTTCTGTATGTATGTTGGCATTAAATTTTATTATCCGAATATATGGTACACGTGACGGCTTTGTGACCCGTGCGTGGAACGTAATTAGGCGTAAGTAAAGTTTCCCTCGATTACAGCTCGAGCTATATTCACATTCAGTTCAAAATATCGCTCAAATGAAGGCAATTCAGAGATGCAGTTCGCTAGGAAAACTTCTAACTTGCGTGTGCCAATTAGAGTTAACTATGAGACACGAGTGACGTTGTAAGCTGTATTTAGACATGGACGCGATTTACTAGGGAAGATTGTTAAATATACATACATTTGCTGAATGGAATTTACGTCATTGCTTGCAGCAAAGAGAATATAGAAATAAAAATCGGTGTAATTACAAGTAGAAATTAATAAGAAAAGATCACGTTTAGACTAATCAGACGTATGAGTATGCAGTTCTGTAACTTAATTACAGATGAAAATTAATAATCAAATCGTTGGGCAAATTCTGAAATGAATTTGTTTCTATTGCTGAACGATATTTCAATTATATAATCAAAAAGAAGCAATATCAGATATTATTTTTTATTACACTTTTTAATTTTGGGATAAAAATATAAATTTCTTGAATACTTATTCATTAATTTTAAAAGTATATTTTA